GATTGGTGGAAGGGATGGATTCAGGGGGTTGAATTTGATTGGTGGAAGGAATGATTTCAATGCACCGTTTCTGATTGGTACAAGGAATGCATATAACGAGTTGGGTTTGAAATTGAGAGGGGATCTTCTACAAACCTCACACTGCGCCATTACCCAGTTTCTTGACTCCCGCAGCTTGTTGAGCACAGTGTGTGATTCCCCCTCTACTTCCGGAAGTTTCAGTCAGCACAATTAACAATTTGACTTTGTGACAGGGATTCCAGTCCCGAACGCTACGATTTGAAATCAGTGGAAGAGATGGAGGCAAATGGAGAGTTCGATCCTCCGTTTAATTTCACGTTTAAGGTACTGTCCTTGCTGTTTACTCTGGCTTTCTGCCTGGTCAGTTTGTTCTGCTCATGCTCACTGAGAGGTCTGCAATCTTGCTGGAGAACAATTCCACAGTCATTATTCAACTATGGACAGCATCACATTCAAGCCAGATACTAATGACCATACATTCAGCACTCTCTACATTATAAGTCCTGGGTTCAAGGTCCACTCCAGGGGCTGAGGGCAGCAATCAAAGCTGACTCTCTAGGAGAGTACAGACAAAGAATGCTGTAGTGTGCAAGATATATTCTTTCAGATGGCAAAATAAACCAAGGTTCCATCCATCTACTCGGTTGGATATGACACTATTTTGAAGGAGATCAGGATACATTTCCCAGTATCCTGGCTAACATCTATCCCTCAATCAATAGGGTGGCATGGTGGCTCAGTGGTTACCACTGCTATCTCACAGCTTCAGGTTTCAATTCTACCCTCGGGCGACTGTCTGTGCAGAGCTGGCCATTCTCCCCGTGCCTGCCTGGGTTTCTTCTGGGTGCTCCAGTTTTCTCCCACAGTCCAAAGATGCGCAGGCTAGCTGGATTGGCCATGGGAAATGCAGGGTTACAGGGATGAGGTAGGGGGGGTGGAACTGGGTGGGATGTTCTTTAGAAAGTTAGTGTGGACTCAATGGGCTGAATGTTTCCACACTGTAGGAATTCTATGATTCAATGTCACAACACAATTGCCTGGTCATTATCATGTTCCTGATCGTGAGATCCTGCTCTGTGCTAATTGGCTCAATGCTAAAATGCTTTGAGACATTCTATTATTGTGAAAAACGCTATGTGAATGCAAGTTGTTTTTATGTGTGTGCACATTCCTGCAGGAATCAATGGCTAGTGAATGGGTGGAGAACCATCAGACTGGCTCAAACTGGGGATTGTGTGGGATCTTCCGGATCCAGTCCCATTCAGTTCTGCACTGTATTGTCCATATATCAATAAAGCTGCTTTTATTCCAGACTTTTGTGGACAAACTATTCCCAAGAAAAAGTGTAGGACTCTGGGTACTGGGGCATAGTGGTTATGTTGCTGTAAAAAGACACATTGTCTGTTGAAGTCTTTCACCTTTGCTCCTCAGCAGAAGTTGCAAGAGTACCAATGAAAGGCATATAGTGTATGAGAGTGCTATTTAGTGGACTGTGGTCATGGTGAAGCCATGGAGCATGTAGAAGTTAATGATTGAAGGTTAACTGCCAAGCTCCATTTTGATCTGCTTTGAGAATGGTTATATTACTGGGTTAATAATTCATAGCACTGGTCCAATAATCTAGGGAATGGAAGTTCAAATTGTATCTTGGGTAGAATTTGAATTGTTAGATCTTATGTTATGATATGCATCCAGCCTCAGTATATTGACAATATACAACCCTTTATATATGTTAGTTTCATCCCTTCTGGTTCAAATATCTTTTGGCTTTGGATTAATCTACACTGCACTCCTTTCAAGGTCATATCATCTTCCTCATGGTTCAAGCATGTCTTCTACACCCTTGTCTTCAACTGCTCTAGGTATAAAGCCCAATATTCCATCCCCTTCTTGAGTACTTCCTCTACCAGTTCATAATTTGTGCATGTGAACCCTGAGGTCTCATTGAATCTCCACCGTTTCTAGTTTCACTTGAGAATTGCACACAGATTGTGATCTCACCTGCTTTATTATTCACACTGTATTCCAAGAGCCTTTTTCTCCATACTTAGCACGGTACACTTGTGTCTTTATGGCTTAGTATAGGAGGGTAGAGGCAGGTTGTTGTCCAGAGCCCGGATAAGACTTAACCTGTATCTGTCTCAAACAATTTGTCCCTAAGGTATACCAACTAGGATTTATGTGTGTTAATCCTGGCATTGTGTACTAAACAAACAAGCTGTATGGAAACACAGACACTATGCGCTGAGATAGCTGTAATAAATTTCCAACAAAGTGTCCCTGTCAAGGACTTCTGGCAGCATATCCCAAGGAACTGGAATAAAGTTTGCACTGCATATCTCAAGAGCTTTCATGGAAATTCTGGCAAAGCACTGACTGGTGTTCTGATGGAAATATTAAATGGAGACCACAGGGATCGACATGGATTCCAGAGCCAAAAGATTCCCTTGTGTGTGTTCCAGATCAACTTGCATATTTTACATCTTAAGAACTTGAAGTTTTAAAAATCAAATAGCATTTCTTAATAATTGTGATTAAAGATTTCTTTATAGATTGAGTTAAATAATTAGTCGGCAGCTGGAGACAATTGGAACATAAATTTAAACCGGGTGCTGTCCTTAAACTCAAAATTCCACAAGGATTGCACATAGAGTACACGGTCAAGTAGAAATTTACTGTCAGATGTGTTCTATAATGGTGACTACCCCGAGGGGAGACTGTCCTGGGCCTCATGCTTTGGGAGCTCAATGTTACAATCAAAGCCAAGGTCGGGCTAACTTCTGAATAAGTCAAAGTGGCAAAATGTGACATTTCAGTTCTGTTTGAAGATTAGTTTGGAGGTGGTATGGCATTATTAACACACAGTGTGATTTACCCCAGATGAGGGGTCCCCTGTACAGTGTGATTTACCCCAGGGGAGGGGGTCCCTGTACAGTG